CCCCCCCCCCCCCCCCCCCCCCCCCCCCCCCCCCCCCCCCCCCACCCCCACCCACACACCCACACCCACACCCCACGCCCACACCCACACTCCACACCCACACCCGAAGAAGGATGGGATTTATATCATTCGTCTACAAGATGTTTCAAAGCTTCCAAGATGTTTGGTAATATGTCGATAGTGTACGTTCGATTGCAGAGACAGTTTTCTTTACTTTTGTAACTTTAAAGTCTCCCTATGCGAGGACAGTCGATGCCAGATTTAGCCGATAGCCTATACGTAAGTAAGCCAATAACACGACGAAAAAAACTAATAAGAAAAAAAAAGGGAACAAATATAGATAGTGGAGGTTGGCCGGGGACATTACACTATAAAAATTATTTATTCAGCTGCGGATCATGAAAGATATAGAGTATTTCGGTCGATTTGATAAGCATCAGACAAAGCTTCCATGTAGCGAGTGAATTGGTGTCGCTGATATCTAGCCACCATTTCATGAATAATCTCATGTTGTCTATGAATAGGCAAACCTGGATTGTTCCGTAATACATCTGGCAACAGCGCACCAGGTATATTATCAAAATCGGCCATTACTTTAAAGAACATTGTGTTATCTTGAACATAAGGATTATTGTCTCTTTCGAAGATGGTCAAAGGTGCAAATTTGGGTATACCACTAGCAATATTCATGTCTGAACGTGGTCGTTGACAACTATTCGATCTCACATTTGGTCGAAAAGAGTCAATGATGTGTCGTCCCGAACCAGTTTGGTCATACAAGCAAAAGACTACTTTGAAATTGAATGGAAACTCCAAGATTCCATCATACTTGCCCCGCAAAAGAACAAAAAAGAGTGACATGTGTGTGCCCCGAGCGTTACCGTCGCCATGCAGATATAAACGAGCACGCATTTTATAGCCAGTAGGTGATGAGTAAAATGGGGGTGAATAAATTGAAGTTTGTCTTTCAGACTGAGCATCAGCTACAAAATGAAAAGTTTAACGAGTTATATACTCATCATCTCTAGTTTTTTTTTATCTTGTAAAACATGATCTGAAAGGAGTGTTGAAGTGTATAGGGTAGAAATTTTGCACCCCATCCCTTCCCCCGGTAGACCATGACAGAGAAATTTCGTACCCATCACAGCACGTGGCAGAGAAATTTCATACCCATCATAGATCGTGACAGAGAATCCCGATACCCGTCACAGAGAAACTGTAGTTGTAAAGCATTAGATAAACGGTTAGCTACAAATGTGTCGCAAGAAAATGGAACAAAAGGATTTCCATTTAATTGGTAACAATAGATCCATTGTGTTTCACATTTTTAACCCCGCAAGGGATTGCACTAACAGCTTTTTTTCTCAGACAAAATTAGAAGAAAAGAGAATAGAGTATCATCTGGATAGATTTACGGTTATCGAAAATAGTTTCCCAAGTTTTCTCTAATAGGATTACGTTTCGTATGAAGATGAGAGGAATTGTAAAAAGCGCCTTACCCATTTTTTCTGCAACATTTGTTATTTTCCATACAATCGTTCCATCGTATGATATATATTGCATATCTTCGACTTTTTGTGTTAGTGATGCGAGATCCTGTGTCAATATTTCTTGCTTGGATTTCATTGCATCCAAGAAAGCATTTTGTTCTTCTATGCTCAATTTGAGTGACGAAACGTCTCTGATAACAGGTTTCAATGAACCCTGTACATGAAGGAGTTCAGCATTAAGACGACATGCATCACCTTGCAACATCTGAATTTCACCAGCAGCTATATCAATTTTCTCATATATTTCTTCGAATCGAGCGATGGTATCACCATTGTTATTTTGATGGTTTTTACTAGATAATGCACATGCAGCATTGATTACTGCATCTTGATGTTCTTTTGACAGATAATGTTCTGCCATTTCAACACGAACAACCTTGAGGAAGAGAAATAAATTGAAAGCATAACTGACAACTGCTTTTCAGAACATACTGAATGTGAACAACCGTAATCCTTTAGAGCACAGGGCACAGTAGTCATCAAACATTCGTTTTGTTTATGTAGATAGAGATGGTGTGTTGAGTTAAATTGTTCATCACAATATTCGCAGACTGGATTCTTATGACATCGATCAAGATCATCCTTCGAAACAACATATGATTATCAATCACACGAGAAATACAAATCTTTACTGAATCGAAATGTATTAATCAATTCAACTACTTATTTGTAATGATTACTCAATTAAATTGCAATCATTCTTCTGAAAATTTTAAGAGATGATTAAACTTCTTATAGATGCTTTTCTTTTATTCTTTTTCTGAAAAGAATAGTATGATTACAGATTTCCACTGCTTTACTAGACATTTTACATTTTTTGCTCTTACTTGACAGTTTTGTAATTTATTGCTCCAGTCACAAGGTGAACCAGTAACAGCCAATGTTCTCATATCATTTTCAAAGGCGCGATCAATTCTTATCTGGAAAAATATACAGATACACATAATATTAAATGAAGTAAAAGAATTTCACTTCGTTCTTGGGTGTTTCTTGTTGACATTCCGGACATTTGACGATATTTCTACGATATAAATAGGCAGAAGAATGCTATTTAATTTACATGAATATCAAATAAAACTCACTCTTTACAATTCTGCACACATGATGCACATTGACGATGACCATATTGAAGTTGCACCGGATCATTTAAAACCTATGAATAAGATTCACAAAGGTAGATTTAATTGACGGTGTTAATTTTTCGTACATCGAAACCTACACTCGATTGTAACGGTGTAGAAAACCCACTTGCTGTTAGATTCTGTTGCTTCATTTGTACTTGACGTCTTCTCTCAGCAAATGTTGACATCAAAATGCCTGCATCAACTGGCAATGATGAATTGAGAATATCAGAATCAAGAGTGTTTTGAATCCGATTTGTCACTTCTGTTTTCAAACAAAAAACAAATTTGGAATTTCTGTCATACAATAATTTGGCTTGCCGAATATCATCCTCTGAATCGCAATAAAATGTAAT